TGATCTATGTGTCTGTTTTTGTGCCAGTACCATACTGTCTTGATGATGACAGCTTTGTAATAGAGCTGGAAGTCCGGAATTGTGGCATCTTGTATTTTCAAAAGAAGATATGATTTAGGGGCCCCTGGGTGGCTCAGTTGGTTAAGTGACTGCCTTCGGCTCAGGTCATGATCCTGGAGTCCCGGGATCGAGTTCCGCATCCGGCTCCCTGCTCAGCAGGGAGTCTGCTTCTCCCTCTGACCCTCCCCCCTCTCATGCTCTCTCTATCTCATTCTCTCTCTCAAATAAATAAATAAAATCTTTAAAAAAAAGAAGATATGATTTAAAAATTACATGTGAGAACTTTGAGAATATTTATATTTAATAAATCATGTCCTCTGTTTCTATTGGATCACTAATAAAGTGATAAGGATTCATTTGCAACCGAAAACAAAAGAGAAAAAAAAAAGCCTTTCCAATCTACACTTAGCTGTAGACATTACTGCCTTCTTGGTGGGGTAGCATATTTGATACATGGAGACTTAAATATCTATCTTCTCAATAATCTTCTCTGAAACTTAGCTAAACAGAAAAATCATTGAGTCAGATCAAGTTTAAACAGAAAAATTTTCAGTCTCCTATTGCTGCATAGCAAACATTCCCAGCACTTAGTGTCTTAAAATAACAGCATTTATTATTTTTTTATGATTCTTTTGGTTGACTGGGTGGTTCATTACTCCACATAGTGTCAGCTCCTTTAAGCTGGGAGGTTGGCCAGGCTCCCTTGGCTCTCCATGTGGTTTCTTATCCTTCAGAGAATGTATTTCCATATGTCCTCTCTCTTCAGGAGAATAGCATGGAGACTGAGTTCCAAGAAGATAAGTCCTGGTGTACAAATGCTTGTCAACCCTCTGTTCACATCATGCATGTTGATGCATGGCCAAAGTCTCATGTCCAAGCCCAGAATCAATATGGGAGAGAACTATACAAGGCTTGAAAACTGGGAGCATGATTCTCTGGGAGCCAACATTGTAAGGTCTAACACAGTAAAGAACTTGAAAAAGTTGTTTGTACCAAGCAGGCTGGTAGCTCATGGTCAGAAATTAAGTCTGTTTTTAGAAATTAAAAAATTATGTCATTTTAAACACCCCAGATTTAGGAGATGCATCCATACATATAATAACAAAAATTCATACCTTAAAAACCTTTACTATTGAAATAGGAAGAAAGAAAATGAAATAATTAAGTGCCTTATTCAAAGTATTTTTTAAGTCCATGAAATAAAAATTAAGAACATAGGCATAAATGATAAGGCAAAGGAAGAATTTAATAATTTGAAAAACCACCAAAAAAGTGATAGATTAGTATCAAAAATTGCTTCCTTGGAAAGACTAATGAAATAAACAAAGCTCTCATAATTAAAAATTAAGTAAAACAGAGAAAACACAGACAAAGAATGAAAATTTGAATTAATAGTTAATTCAAGGCTTACTATTATTCTGAAATCCATTACCAAATACTATAAAGAAATACAAATTTGAAGTTAAAATATTTGAAAGGATGGTGCAAACTTATCATTATTTGTAGATAATGTGATTTGTTATCCAGATAAACTCGAAATAACTCAAAAGTATTAAGATTAACAAGCAATTGAATATTTATAAAATGCATATAAAAATAAAGAGCTATATTAATCAGCAGTGATCACAAAACATTGTAGAGAGCAATTTTCATTCACATTAGTAGCAAAACTGTATCTAGGAATAAA